TTCACACCGTCGACTGAGGAATGCTGGATCGAACGCCTATTTATAGGTGCGCGGAACCGCGAATCGCTCAGTAACAAAAATGTTCGTCCTGCTGTCGAGACCTTCCGATATTTGTGATTTGAGCGCCGAACAGTTACAATTTGTGCCGAAAGTCGTTCTGCTGCGAATGTGCGGCGATCACGTCCACTACCTGTGGGACAAGCTTCCGGAACATATAAAGGCGGATTTAGAGGTTCAACAATATCGTCGCTGTTACGAACATTACAATCAACCGTGGCAGCGAACGCACATCGACGGTCCAGCACCGTTGATAAAAGATTGCGGCGAATGTCAACGAAAATAGGTAGAGGCCTATTCAATCGCGCGATAAACGCCCTTCCTTTCGAGTTACATATCCCCGGCTATCAGTTTTGCGGCCCGGGCACGCGGCTACAAGAGCGATTAGCGAGAGGCAATCGGGGTATAAATCCATTGGACGCGGCCTTCCGCGAGCACGCAACAACGTCAACATTCGCTAATATCCAATCATCCGGTTGCACCAAAAAAAAGAAACTCAACGCGTCAAACATTGAATTTTTACAATCTTTGGGATTCGCGGTGCGAAATATCTGAGAAAACATGACCGATATCCTCAACATCGAAGGCGAGCCGGTCTTTGACGATCGTATCATCAAGATCGAGACTCACACGTACAACCCGTACGACAACACGACGTTTGAGTATAGCGACGAGATACGAATACCCATACAACAACAGGATCTGTATACCTTGCCGTATGAGAGTTTTCTATACATCGAGGGAAAACTAAAGATAAACAAACCAGCTGAAGGATCTAATGTGGTACTGGGAAATAATTGCGTCGCGTTTATGTTCGATGAGATCCGATACGAACTCGACGGTGTGGAGATTGATCGTAGCAGAAATGTGGGAATAACTAGCACACTCAAGAACTATGTAACGATATCATCCGATAAAACCGTGATTATGAGGAACGCCGGCTAGAATGCGCAGACTAACGCGAATGGATACATCAATTTTTGCGTACCGCTCTACATGTTATTGGGATTTTGCGAGGATTATAGACGCGTGGTGATTACCGCTCGTCACGAGTTGATCTTAATACGATCGCGCAACGACAACAATTGTCTGCTTGGAAATTTGGCGCTGGAGCCTGCGATTGACATATTCAAGATACAATGGCGAATGCCACACGTGGTATTGAACGAGATCAATAAGCTGTCGATGCTGCGCGCCTTGGAAAGCGGACGATACCTCAGCATGGGTTTTCGCTCGTGGGATCTGTACGAATTTCCGCTATTGCAGCGTACAACCAAGCATTCGTGGCCCATTAAAACCGCGACTCAGCTGGATAAGCCGCGATACGTTGTCTTCGTTCTGCAGACAGGTCGGAAGAACGTCATGTCCGAGGATACGAGTCGATTCGACGATTGCAAATTGACCAATGTGAAACTCTTCGGAATGTTATCCGTACGACGATATGAATCTAGATTTCGATAAAAACAGATGGTCGATTCTGTACGACATGTACCAGCGTTTCTGCAAAAACTATTACGGATACGAGTATCTCGAGCCGAATCTCGCAGTCACGCAGTTTCTACTTAACGGTCCGTTCGTGATCATCGATTGCTCTCGACAAAACGAATCGGTCAAGAGCGCAACCGTGGATGTGCGATTGGAATTCGAGTGTAAGGAGAACGTGCCGCCGAATACCACTGCGTACTGTCTCATCATACACGATCGCGTGATTCAGTACAACCCGTTGACCAACGTTGTGCGCAAAATCACTTAAGTGTGTGGGATGAGATGATATAAAACCAATAATGCATCAGAATCAATCGCAGTCTTCTTCTTCTTCTCGACGTGCTGATATAAAAAACGTTATGTCCATACCAACGTTCGTGAACCTACAAAGATTCTACGTCGGGATGAAATTTGTCGTAAAGGAGGTGGCGGTGCTGAGAAAGGAGACCGTTCTGGCGCATTACATTTTTACATACCCCCTACCATGGAATCTCCTCACAAAATCCGACAAATCATGCGCTTCCTGGCTGATCGCGAATCACCATGGATTACGATGGGAAGACGGAAACGTGCCGTACGGCATGGCTAAACGCTTGATTACATCGGCCGTGCTTGGTACGGAAGAGGATGACGAGACGTCGACTCTCGTGTACGTCAAGGGATGCCAGAAACGAGAATGGCTGGTGGATTTGCTTGAGAATCTTGCGAGAGAAAATTTAATTATCGAGACTTTGGATGCTGATTACGAAGATATTGAATCTTTAAATAATCTAGATGTTACTAATACTATACGATGCGGAAAACATGTTAAGAATTGCGCATTACAGAATGTATTAAAAATATTTAGCTGGTGGTCGCAACGTTAAAAAAAATTGTAATATTTTTATAAATAAAATGTGTAAACGTATTTAATGTGTTTTATTTCTTATTCTCCCCACTCCTTTCCTCGCGAGTCGTTTCTAAAAATTCTTTCTAACGTTGATCGTTTCCCCTTCTCCTAAATTTTCAGAGCGATAATCTCCCATCGCATCATACGTTGACCGTTTCCCCTTCTCCTAAATTTTCAGAGCATTGACCCATCGCATCATACGTTGACCGTTTCCCCTTCTCCTAAATTTTCAGAGCAATAACCCATCGCATCATACGTTGACCGTTTCCCCTTCTCCTAAATTTTCAGAGCAATAACCCATCGCATCATACGTTGACCGTTTCCCCTTCTCCTAAATTTTCAGAGCAATAATCTCCCATCGCATCATACGTTGACCTCCCCTTCTCCTAAATTTTCAGAGCAATAACCCATCGCATCATACGTTGACCGTTTCCCCTTCTCCTAAATTTTCAGAGCAATAACCCATCGCATCATACGTTGACCGTTTCCCCTTCTCCTAAATTTTCAGAGCAATAACCCATCGCATCATACGTTGACCGTTTCCCCTTCTCCTAAATTTTCAGAGCAATAACCCATCGCATCATACGTTGACCGTTTCCCCTTCTCCTAAATTTTCAGAGCAATAACCCATCGCATCATACGTTGACCGTTTCCCCTTCTCCTAAATTTTCAGAGCATTGATCTCCCACCACATCATACTTTTGAAAAATAAGCGTCACGTATATTCGGTTAATTTTTATACGATCAGTGTCGTGTCAACTGCTAGTACCAACGGTCCACTTCTCATAACCGAGAGACAAAATGTACTCCGCTGAAGGAAGCACCAGCAACGGTTGCAAACGCGTGAATTACTACGTTCCACGAGACGAAATTAAGCCGTGCAAGAAACCACGAGATGAAATTAAACCGTACAAGAAACCACTTGATTTGTAAGTATCACAAATGTTTCATACATACATATATATATTTTTCATAT